ACAAAAGGTGACAAAAAGTATTTCAATGACTTGAATCACCGTGCCAATATAAATACATCTGAACTACCAGCAAGCTATGGCAGAATGTAGTTAAAATACTAGTTTAATTGCATGAACAGGAGTTCACTACTCCCCAGCACTGCCATTAAGAGCACATTTAAGACCCTGTTATGCTTGTTGTGTTAAAACAAATCAGCTGAAAACATTAAAAAGGCAGTCATACATGGCTCTTGGTTTTAGCAATAGAAAGAACCCATTCTCTTGCAAATAGCAGTGAGTCTTGAGTGGTGATGTGGCTACACTTATGATGTTTGAGAAATGACGACTTAGTGAACCGCCAGCTGCGGGCCACCGGCCCAGACAGCTATGCCTACATCAGTTGGTTTAGAAATGTCACTGGATGACACTTCAGACTGGAACTGCGGCAAATGAAATATTTAGATTTTTTTTTTTTAATCTCTTCAGGTCCAAATACTACAGGGAACACAAGGAAAGAAGTACAACTGACTGGCACCAAATCTCTACCTTCAGTGGAAGTGAAGGTCTTGCCTAATCATGAATACTGAGCAAGTGTGTAAATGTAAATCACTCCAGATGACAGCACCTTCCAAATGCCTTACATTTAAATGTAAATAGAAAAGGAAAGTGACAGGCCAAACAGTGGTTTGGAAGATAAACACAGACATGATGTGAGTCACGTAAATGTTTCCAAAGGCTTAATCTCCTGAGGAGATAAGGAGTATGAAGTAAGCATTGGACAGGCATGAGGCATGCTCTAACTGTGATTTCATTGATGAAGCCTAAAATGAAATGCTGAGACACATAAAAGCTATGGACAAGACAGTAACAGAAAGCCATAAATGTATACAGACTCCTGGGGATAATGTATTAAACCTGGTGACAGACAAGTTTGTGATCTGTCAGTAAGTAATGAGCAATTCACATGATCATATGGACTTAAAATGAGTTTGTAGAATTAATAGGGGATTTATGTGAAATGGCCTCAGGAGAGTTAGAAGAATGCAGGTAAAGATAAAAACAAGCCCCACCGTGTAGTAATAACACAACCAAGTGTATAAAGCTTGTGTGCATCTGTGTTTGTGTGAGCAATATTTCTCATCCAGTGGATTTTTATCTCATCGCTGGCGTTTTGATTCAAAGCTGCTCTCCTGCTGCTCCTTTGATTTCCTCTTCCCTTTCTGCTTTGGTCGCCTCTGACTCCCACTCGCTCTCACCTCAGGGACTGTCTTCCTGACTCTGGACCCAAGGCACACCATGTGAAGCTGGGGAATTGCAGGCGGAAGGCCAGCAGGAGGGACTTGAGGGGCTTTATTTCAAACAATGGCCCAAACTGTTGTCAGGGATGTGAGAGAAGATGACAGTGGGGAGGAGGGTTAGAGGTTTTTGCTTTGTTGACAATAAATGTGTGGTGCCTCCTGCAGACATGTGAATGATTAAGCAAAGTTTCTGTGTGTGGATTTGCTTTTTGATGGCTGGTATAACCACAAGTCAAAAGCCTTAACTGGTTCACACAGCCAGCTATAATTCTTGTCAAAGTTGGGAAAACACATCTACCACACTGATATCGGATCAAAAAGATGATGTTTGGCATAAACTTACAGAGTTATCTGGTTATATTCATTAGCTCAGTGTTGTTGTTGGTGTCACCTCCTCTTCTTGGGGTTTTCAGTCTTTGTGTTTCTCAGGCAGGACCCTGGGTGTACAGGCTCCACTGGTCCTGGGTGCTTTGTTCAGCTAGCCTGGTTTCCAAAGCTATCTGTGCATCCACGACTTCTGTCCTGATGTCATATTATTGTATAAAGACAGATTAAAAAAACACAAAGACTTGTACATTCTGACCAGCCATTGTGACTATTAACTGTGATAAGTTATTTGATTCTGGTGTTGTACAACAGAACTGAATTAGCATCGCTATAAATGCCAGTTGTCTTGAATATGTTTATAAGATTGCTGTGGAAAACAATACGTCACTTTTAATTTCAGCTAACCGTAACGCGGTATGTTAAATAGATCACATATTTGCTAGAATCAAGGTGCAAGGTGGTCACAAGTAGCAGAAGTCAGCCTACTTAATGCAACACACCCCCAATTCTGGTTCAAACAGCACGTCAGAGGACAAAATATCACAATGGAGTGCTTCCTTATTAGTGGTAAACATAAGATTGATATTGTAAAATTACTGATATTTAAGTGTTCCCATGACAACTTGCTCCAAATTAGGATGAAAAAGGCAGCTTCAGCCATGATTTCAGAGTGGTGTCCTAAGAGAATAAGTTAGAGCTAGACATAACTGACAATATCTAATATTAAACAAAGCTGATATTGCTGGGTATATCAGAAAATCTGTGTATAACACAAGTTTGTGGGTTTATTTGAGTGAGCTTGTGTGTGTGTGTGTGTGTCCGCTCAGGCAAAGGATTTGGAGTCGGTGTGCATGATTGGCACACAATGCAGATGTGTGGGCAGCAGATGCCATCTGGAGAAAGCCGAGTGGGCTGGTAGAGGGAGGGAATGGGGGGAGGGGTGCACCGCCATTCCACTGGTTTGACAGGAGGATAAAAGAAATGATGGGAGTGTAATCAATCAAAAACACTGTGACACAAATAAAGCAAGACAAGAGACGCAACCCTCCCACTCACTCTCTGTCCCGACCACCATCGTGGTCCGCCATCGCTGGTCCACAAAACTTTGTCGCTATTGGTTGAAAGGGATCAAATGCATCTCTCTAGGTCTCTCTCTGCCCTTTTAAGGTTGCTAGAGTTGTTGTCAGGGGAAAACTGGTGTAAGTGCTTTTCTGGGGATGTAGTTTCAGACATTCGTGTTCATCACTGAATTGTCAAATCTTGGTGGAGCACCAGATGCTTTGTCTGCATCAGTGCACCAGTTGAGATGCTTACATATTAGATCATAATCTTACAAGAGCACAGACCGGCATAGACCTCCACAGATCTTTCCATCTATTCCCAAATCAGCCCCATTTGATTTTTCTTCAGCAATAAGATCAGGACTTCACTGCTGCCCAATCAGACCAGTCACACACACCCACTTTAAACTATATCTTCTAAAAGGACCATGCAATCAACACTTAAGGCTCTTTGAACAAAAAGTGAACATCATCACCTTCATGAAGGTGGAGGAGTGTTGTATTAGACTGCCTTAGTTTTAGACAGGTGTACCTACCTGCCAAATGAGTGTATAAAAACACTATACTCTGTCTTTGAGTGGTGTCTGTGAGGGGGGAAAACAAAGCCACACTACGTCTGTTGAAGCATTTGAGATGAGGGCAAGTCAATTTGCAGTGAGATCACCCCTATGACAAAAACAGTTTTCTTGCGTAGGCAGAAATGAATATTTTGCAGCAAAGTCCTGGAAGCCTGAGGTTGGTGTGATAAACACAAAAAGGCATGGGAACTGGGGCACTTGTTATCTGGCAGACATGGATGCTAGACTGCAGACTTCCACTCAAAGACATATTCGTATATTTAGGACGCTGTAATGAGATGAGAAAAAAAATGCATTCAGACACCTGCTGAGAGCAAGGAAAACTTCTTGCTTCTTTCCACACTGTTTCATCATCACAGACGTGTTTTTGAAGCCAAATGAAACTGCCTAAATTAAAAATGCAAGTGGCCTAACTTAAAATGTAAAGATAGTAAATTTCATATAACACTGACATACTTTTCTGCTGCTTCATCTGATTAAATTTTGTTTTGACTTTCCACCCTCAAAAAAAGATCAGCAGTGCTACAGCTGATAGGGATCCAATGACTTGCACAAGGACACTTCAGCATTGTAGATGTTTCTGAGCTGATTCACTGACTCTGGAAACTGTAAAGGCCACATTCCACTCTTCTAAACGTGCTTGTTGTGGATATGAAAATCTAACGTAACAGTAGTCTCTGACTGTGCTGGCTGTAGTGATGCAGAATGCCCCAGACTCTGCCCACATAGTGACAGGCTCCTCTGCAGATGATTGAAAGGTTTCTTGGCAGGTGCTGCAATGAGCACATCTCATGGGAGCAATAGAAGACCTCTGCAGGAGGTCACCAAAGACAGAGAGCAGCCTGACAACACCCCAAACCTGGACACACCTGGTTTTTCTCAGACATGAACAAAGCAGTCTTTACTTCCAGAACTGCTGAAGTAACATGAATTCCTTCATAACGATTACCTTTGCATCATTATCCAGATCTCTATATTGATGGATCTGTGTACATATTTCATCATAAATACCCATAAAGCCTTGATAACATTAGAATAATAGCAAGTGACAATAATCCTATACAAGCTCGCCACTGATCACAAAACGGGTATTTTCAATTTCACAAAGTGCAATACCATGTAATGTTAGAGGTCATGCTCGTGATTGTTCTTTAATCCAATTGTGGAGGCAGAGCAGGTGTCAATATCTCCGCTAGGTGGCGACCTTGGTCTGATGCGGCTCATCTTGGACAGAGCTGCGCTTGACTGGAGCCAGACTACATGCAGGGATCACCACAATGTGACTGCTGAGCAACATAGAAGACAAAAATTGGCGCAATGCATTGTGCGCATATAGCTTGAATATATAGATTTCTAACATCTATGTTTTTAATTAACATGATATAATCAGTGATTGGAACAGACTTAATTTCCTTAAAAAAAATCCAACCAAAACAAAACTCCGTGCTCTGTAACCTAACACACACACACACACACGCACACTTGCCATTTGGTTTCAGTGTTGACTAGCAGGACATTTCCTCCCGCAGTCTGTTCTTGTGAGTTTTACATGATGTTTGTACCTGCATGGCAAATGTCGTGGAGAAATGCCATATTACACCATCACCATCTCGCTGTGTCACTGAATACAGGGACTATGCTGGTAACCAAGAGAGTCAGTTGTTTGGACTTTTCAGAAAGGCTAGGTAATGATTATTTGCACCCGTCGTTCTCCCCCTTGTCCCCTGCTTTCCTTATATGAATTGACAGGGTCCGCGTCAGAGCGCATAGGGTAGACCCGCCCCCTGTTTGTGGTGCGCTCGGTCCGTCTCTCTCACCCTGTCCGCTTCAAACCCATATTCCACTGGGAAAGAGAGAGAGGGAGAGAGGGAGTGTGAGTGTGTGTGTGTGTGAGAGAGAGAGTGCAGGACCCGGGAGAAGAGCAAGTAAAGAAAAAGAGACAAGAAAAACGGGACAAAGACACAAATGGCACTCATGGCAGGGATTTTGCTCACGGCCACGTTTCTTGTTTTTGGGATTTCTACACTGGTTTCACCGGGACGGATATACCCCCCGAATGAAGGTAAGGCTGTTGGGAGAAAATAACTGCCGCGGACTTCTGACTTCGACCCGCACTGTCTCTGTGCGCGTTTGCGTTGTGGAGGCACACTTCGTGGCTCCTAGTTGCGAATGAGAGGAGCCACGATGAGTTTGATGATGGAAAACACAGAGGGTCACCTTTACGCAGCGACTTTTGCGGGGCTGTGAACGGAATGGGAATGAGAAGTGGCTGTCCAAATGCGCAGCGGCTGTTTTGGGCTCCGCTCGGGCTTGGATCGTGCCAGCTGTCGAAATCCCGAATGCAGGGTTACTTGTAGAGAAGGTCAAACCGAGCTCTGCTCTAAATGCAGTTTTTGTTGTTGTTGCATAGCATCTACCTAAGGAACATGTCCCGTAGAACCGCGATGAAGTGAATTTACTGTATGAGTCAATGGGAGTCTCGCACGTTGGGAGCACATCAGAATGACCAAGTAGCTCGTTATTTGTCAATTTTAGAACTGTCCACAATGATCACCCCTGCAGCCACAGTGTATTTTGGTGTAAAATGATTATGGGGATGACAGGAAAAACAATTTTAAAAGTTGGGGCGTGCTGCCTGATAGGCTATATGCCCAATTAAAGAATGGTTATCGCTGATTAATAAAAGGTCATCGATTATGATATCTACATATATTTAATGAAAAGCGAGCAAACGCGAAGCAAGACATGTAAACTGTGCATGGTGTAGGCTATCCTACAAAACCGCTTGGGCGGTTTCGGTACCAGAATTGCCTGTTCGGTGTCCCGCGGCGCAGCGCATCCACTTTCAAAATGTTAGGCCCAGTGCAGATTAGAACCTAATTTTTACAGCAAACACTGCGATAAATCATATACCTTATTTAAAGCAACCTCAACTGAGGCACGGAGTCTGACTCCTACAGAACTGTTTTTTATAGCTATCCGTCCTGCACAGCAGAGCAAAGCTGGCTGATACAGATCCACCATTGTACTCCGTCTATTTAAATAACAAACACTTCTTTAATTTGCTTAATTGATTTCTATTACACCTATTAATGTATTTTGTGGATTTAAGCAACAGGCTTATGTAGACTATTAATTTATTTTTGGGAGATTAAGTGTTTTATCCACACTGAATTCAAAACAGTTGGAGAGTCTAAAATGCCATTTAATTCGATCGAAACCATTTTACGTTTTCTGATAAAATTAAAGTTTCATGTAAAGACTGTCGCAATTTAAATATGCTTTGTTGTTCTTCAACCAGATGTGTGCACACCGCTGCCTAACTGATTCAGATCACATAAAACATGCTTAAAGCTGCTGCTGCTGCACAATCTGGGGAAAAACATTCATTAACACCTGAGAAATGTGTTTGTCATTTGTAGAAAATCATTTTTCTTTTAGCGAGAATCAATCAAAACTACATCCATAAAGAAGATCAGGGAGTCAGGTCAAAACATTTACAAGTTTATCGTTTTTATAAACCTCTGGCCTTCAGCTTTTACCCTCTCTGTACTGACGTTCATAATGAGGACATTTTTCTACTTCTTAAATCACTTTAACAATTATTTCAACTTTTAAGTCTTTACAAACAGCACCCCCTTTTCCTATCCTCAGTGTGTTAAACCTAGGTGGATTATTCATGCCAGTGCTGATGTTGTATGAACACAATGAGATTGCATGCTCACTTTTCCTATTCTTGTTTTCCAGTTACATTACTGGACTCTAGAGCGGTACAGGGGGAGCTGGGATGGGTCGCCAACCCGACAGAAGGAGGGGTAAGTACTGCAAATAAGTGTCCCCTTGCTAGGACGCAGGGTCCCCTATTGAGCACAAATGGAGAGATAATATCCATCATTGGCAGGAGCTCTGGAGCGGACAGCCAAACAGATAAAGTTTTTGTCATGGGGAGCCTTTTATGGGAATACCTTTGTTGATGATTTATTGTGGAGCTATCTGCTCTGGAGGGATATTAGTCTCAGAGTCACTTCTAGTATTTTACATTAAAATATAAATAAATTAGAGTTTGCAATTTTGTTGTTTGTAAAGAGCTTCTGGGACACCGTTCAGGGCCTCATGGGTACACGGAATCCACTTTGAGAACCATGGGGTCTGTAAATGCCCCCCTCACCTCCAACACCCCTGCTCGCCTTTATCCTTGCTCCCCTTCTCTCTAACCGCTCTGTAATGGTCAGATGCAGGGACTGATACCGCAGCGGGCATCAGGTTTCCTGAATAGATGGTGGATTGAATCGGTCTTTGTGGAGAAACTTTATATCCCTTTCCACCATTGAGTCGAAGAGAGGAAGAAAGAGGAACTTGGCAGTTGAGAGAGAGTCCTCTGGAATGGATGAATAAGGGGGAGAGTGCCGTGGGGTTCAGCCCTTGCCGCAGGATGACTAGATTGGGCTATAAAGCAACAGGGAATAGGGTCAACCAAATGTGTGAACCCTCAGTCTAATTGGGACATCTACAGAGGCTCTGATAAGGAAAAGAATAGGGGCTGTAATATGGCCCCACAAGGATGGGATTAGATGATTAGGGAAAGGTACCTGGCATGATTTAAACAATTCCAGATTTGAAGGCGGCATCCTTGAAAGTCACTGGTGACCTAAATGAATACTTGTTTACAGTCAGTCAGCACTCGCTCCTTCATTTGTTCTACCTGCAGAAATGTGATGATGATGAGCACAAGTAAGCCTTTTTAATGCTTTATGAAAAGCAATAAAAATTTGAAACAATCATGTCAATTAATGAAGATGAACCCAGGGGAACAGAATGTCACCTCATGCAGCTGGAGCAGGCTGTGCTCACAAGCTTTTCTCAATGAACTTGGCTGGTGCTGCTCTCTCAGGTCCTCCTTTTAGCAATTTCATCACAAACAAGTGATTGACAGGGTCCTGGAAGCCCTGGCAAGTCTGTATTCACCCTCACATTACGACCAATTGCCCTTATTCTCCCTCTCCCCTGTTATCAGGGAAAGGTGGACCTTATCTCTGTGCTGCTTGATTTCCACAACAAAAGGGGGGCTAAGGGAAGGGAGCAAAATGGAATGGAACAGCAGGGAATGATGGACATTGTCTCAAATCATACAGCTGCAGCTATGTTTAGCAATAGCTCACCCTCCTCCAGGGAAATAAGGCTTTAATCCAGATGGTTTATGATAAGGGGTCAAATCAAATCTGGCAGCAATAACCCATATCTTCCACTACAATATATATATTTTTGTACAGTTTTCTAAATGGTTAAAACTACAGCAGCCAAAGGCCTGTCTGCTCTTGTTTACAGTCCAACTCAGTCAAAGACTCTATTTAAGACACACTGTGAAAATCTTAGAGGAACAGCGCTTTGAGTCTCTCAAGGCGTGCTTGTATGTGCTCAACAGCGCTCTGTCAAGAGGGTAACTTTATCATAAGTAAAACAAACATTCCTTCTCGGAAAAAATAAGCCAGGCCACACCGGATAACGTAATCCATGCGACTCCCTCTCTCTCCTATGAGTTCATACTAACAGCAGCGGTGAACATGTGTGCCTCTGTCTCACAGTTCCCATCATGTGCAGATGTAAAGCAGACACACATCAGATCATTATCGCTGATTCAGAGACCTTTACTCTTTGCATCAATATAATCCTGTTTTCATTGTTTCCCTTTTCCCTTCTCCTGATACCCCAAGCCATCCAGGTCTCTCAGTGTGTGAGTGTGTGTGATGAGGATTTTGTATACCATTCCCCAAGTAATAAAGTGTAGGTATTACTGAGGCATACAGCTAATTACAGATTTCCCTTCTTGCAGTTGAGAAGAATCCATGAATATTAATATCTTTACGATTCTATATTAGGACCTAACAGCTTTATTAGGTGCCATTCATAAAATATGCATTAAATTTAGCCATCAGTTTAATGCTCTGCTGAGACTCAAATAATGACTAATCTTTCTGACATGCTCTTTTGCACAGTATATCTTGTTCCTGGCGTAGACTGGCTCACAGTCACGCATTCCATGGTCAATTTTAATTATGAGTTCTGATATTTTTCTGGTGTTCTTAACCTTTACCAATAATGCCGTAGCCCTTTTATTGCATTTTCCTTCTGTTATGATAATCAAATGTTTTACTCTACAAAGTTAATTCATTTGGACACTACAAATCCAAAGTCATAGGTTTAAGAATGTTTGTAACGTTTTTATGGTTGTGTGCTTTCCCTAGTGGGAGGAAGTGAGTATTATGGATGAGAAGAACATTCCCATTCGGACGTACCAGGTGTGTAATGTCATGGAGCCAAACCAGAACAACTGGCTCCGCACTGACTGGATCCCCCGTGGCGGTGCTCAGCGTGTCTACATTGAGATCAAGTTCACCCTGCGAGACTGCAACAGCCTCCCGGGTGTCATGGGAACCTGCAAGGAAACATTCAATCTTTATTACTATGAGTCCAACAATGACAAAGAGCGCTACATCCGTGAGAATCAGTTTGGCAAGATTGACACGATTGCCGCCGATGAGAGCTTTACTCAGGTAGACATCGGTGATCGCATCATGAAGCTGAACACGGAGGTGCGAGATGTGGGTGCCTTGACTCGAAAGGGCTTCTATTTGGCCTTCCAGGATGTTGGAGCGTGCATTGCACTTGTGTCTGTCAGGGTCTTCTACAAGAAATGTCCTTTGGCAGTGCGTAACTTGGCCCAATTTCCTGATACCATCACTGGAGCTGATACTTCTTCGCTTGTGGAAGTTCGTGGCTCATGCGTGGATAATTCAGAGGAGAAGGAGGTTCCCAAGATGTACTGTGGGGCTGATGGAGAGTGGTTGGTGCCCATTGGGAACTGCCTGTGCAACCCTGGTTATGAGGAGCGCAATTCAGAATGCCAAGGTAAAGAGCTCACATTTGTCTTGTGTTTTTTGGTAATGATTGCCTTTCTGAATTTAAAGACCACTCTCTCCTTTCTCAAAAGTATTCTATTTTTTGTTTTATTTCTCCTCCTGCTTTCTCTGGCTCTTTGTTTTTATGCTCCACATTTCTTTCTTTGTCCTTCCTTCTCCTCCCTCGCTCAATCCACCCACCTCACACACTGTTGGATATTTTTTCCTCCTTGCTCTGCTGCTTTCTGTAGTCTTTTTCTAGTGTCTGGTTGGGTGATAGAAGCAATGATGATTGTAAATGGAGTAATTAGCAGGCCCACTGGGAGGTGTTTGCAATGGGATGTATCCCAGGAGAACTGGTGACACTGGGAGAGGAGGGTAGAGCTCCAACTGGTTTGCACTACCGCTGTATCTTTCACCCCTACCTGCTTTTTGTCTTATTCCCAGTGAAGCCTGAAGCTGGGAATAAGAGATAGACAGCTCATAGGAAGAGAAGGAGAGTGAAAGAGTTTATAATTCCAAGCAGGTATGAGAGGAGTGAGAATACACAACCGTGAGATGGGGTTGAAATAGTGCTATTTGGTAGGGGGGGTAATAGCCCTTTGTGGGTGATTATTTTAGTCTCTGCCCACTGTGATCCTATACCATGCTGTTTGATGAGGTTTTAAGGTCAGTGCAGAGTGCTGCCTTCCAAATTTTCAAAGCAAGGCCAAGATAGAGCTTTCAGCATGTTGGTGAATTCAAATCATTGCCCTGAAATGCCTACCAACAGATAATGTATTTCTGAATTTCTGCTTTTAAATTTTTCTAACTTAGGCTGTTATGATGAATGACATTGTTGATAGACCTTACTTTAACTCACTCGTTTCACTGCAATGGTAGAACGCGCCACTGTTTTGTGGACAGCATCAAGTAGTATTCAGCAGTTGTTTTGTGGAGCACATGCTGCTTTGTGCCAAGTCTTGGCACAGTTGTCAGCTGGCCAGATGAACAGATGCCAGTTCTGCCATGATGGTTTATTGGTTTATCCCACCTGCCACCCACCACCGTCATACACAAAAAGCGGTGGGCCACAGCAGTTAAGGGTCAGAGGCCAGGCATGGGTGATTAACAGGGGGCGGACCACTACACCTGACCAAATTTATGAGGGAGTCTTTATCTTGAAGCATTAATTGCATGGAAAACAGGTCTGGAGATTTATGGGTACCGCTGGCTGCTTGGGGGTGGGGAGACAAAGAGGTACAAGTGGTCACAGATGGGTTTGTGTGTGTACTTTTGCGTGTCTTTGTCCATAATGGTATCATTTGAGCTTTAAGAGTTTTCATAGAATGTAGCACTTGTCATGTTGCTCTGGACTATGGCTGATTTCTGGCCCCAAGGTCGACTACAAAGAAACAGAGGGAGATGGAAGGTTGAGGGATGAATACCAAAAGGTAATTTACAGTCTTTAGGTAAATTTCCCCTGACTGGCTTTCTATTGTGCAGTTTACTATAATAACTTCTCTTGCTTCAAATTTGAATGAGAACCCTGATCTCATACTGTATATCATAACTTTAGTTCTCCTGCAACATTGAGCAAACTCCTTATCTCTTCTCTTTAATTTCGGTTGAGATAAATAGCTGTTACCTCCCTAAGAAGGCAATAAAAGATTTGGAACCCTTGATTTTATGTGAATAAAGCAGTCTTTTAATGTCTGCCAGGCTCTGAGCTGGCAGCGCTGCTTTTCAAGCCAATATATCCATTTAGTTCACATATCACTGCATCTGCTTTACTTTGTTTGCAGTTTACAGTGCCAATACATCCACTCCATTTGCTTCTAGCTTCAATTACACTGTTAAACATTTCACTTCCAATTGGACACTGAATAACATGAGTCGGGCACGGTTACCCAAGGCGTCAGTCTGGGCCAGCTCCAGTGACTTGAGGGTTAAAAAGAGCTGGCCGCTGTCAGTCTTCAAGTGCACCGGTAAGCTGGTTAATATTCCACAATGTGACAGGCTCTATGGGAGAGGGGCTCCACTCCTGTATCATCATGTTGGGTATTACAGAGGAGCTGTTTTTGGGGCAGGGAGGGGAGATTAAGGGAGACTGATGGAGTAAGGTGTGTGTGTTAACATTTTATTTGTTACAAATCAAAAAGTTTAAACACGTGTATGATTGTGGGTCACCCTGTGCTCACTCTATGTGGCCTGATTTGGATTAAAGTCTTTCTTTTTAAAGGTTTTCTATGGTGCATACAAGCCCAGTTGTGTGTGTCAAAGCGTGTGTGTTCACATACTTGGATGTCTTTGCTTGTCTCGAGTACGTGTGGGGTTACAAGGGCACTTTGGCCCCTGGTTCCCAGCCCAGGATGAATGGGCTTCCCTCTAGCATTTTTCGGTGCAGTGGTAGAGACGGCTGAGGCTAGCGAGGGGATTGACGATGAAGGGCGCACGAGCAGCCTATGTAGAAGCTGTATTCTCCACCCCTGGCAGGGGGCAGAGGTCACCCCCTTCTGCATCCATCTTAGTGTTGCGTTTGGCAGGGTTGTGGATCCAAAATTGATTAAGATGTCAGGATTTTGACAGCTGTGGCGGGAGGGCTGATGTGTATGTGAGTCTGTGCTTGAGGTGGGCCATGTGTAGCAAGGGTGCACACCCTGGGCTAAAGGGTAAGTTGCAACTAGGACACTGAAGGCCAAGGAGCCCCCTCTTCTAAGGAAAGGGGACTCTGTGTGTTTGCATTTGGGATCCCTTTCCCTGTTATCCATCTCTCCCACTTGCTCAGTGGGGAAGGCTGGGGGTCAGGATGTCCCCTCACTCCTCATCTGGTGAAGCCCAAAGTCCCCACTGTTTGAGGGGTGTTTATGACCTTGTGGGAGGGAGGGATTACTGGTAACCACATATATTATTACGTGGAAGTAAGAAACATTTTGGCCCAACAGTTACCTCAGCAGAGCAATGATGTGTGTTTTCAGGAAAATCAGCACATTTCAAGTTGTGAGTGTATGTGCATTTGTTGTCTGGTTGAGACAGAAGGTAACAGATAATTTCAACATCACAGAATACTAGTTCATTGTTGAGCGGTGAACTGGGATGCCACAACATATTTACACAGCTATCTTTGTGAAGACACTCACTGGCATAATGGACTTCCTCCTACTGATTTACCCTCACATTAACCGCTGCTGTAAAAGCCTAAGCCCAGCCCTTATGCTAACCCTAACCTCAACCTAATTCTTACCTGGGACCTAAAACTAAATCTTAACTTTTGAAAATAGAAAGTTGTGAAAATTACCTGAAAAGGACAGCTTTGAAAACAACTGGTCAACAGAGTGTGCATGTACACACACTCACACCCCTGACTAACAAATTCCCAAAACAATTTATTGAATACATTATCTGTCATGTTTAAAAATTCAGATTAATTTCTTATGGACATTTTAACATTTTATTTTCCCCCTTTTGTTCTGCTCCTATTTATTTAATTCAGTATGTAGCTCAGCTTTAAAGATAAACACTATGCTGCATTAGGCCCATTATCTAAACCGTCATGCTTCATCACTGTGTATTCCCTTCAAAAACCCATTTGCATGTGTGTGGGTGTGTATGTCTAAAAGCTTCGGACCTTACTGTAATGTCAGTGTGTGAGCGGAGCATTTAGTCACCTGAGGAACTCGATCTTTTCCCAGAAGTCTTTGTTGAGCTGAAAACTCTCACTGGTATTGGATTAAGAGGTTTTAGGAAGTTTCGTTTCTGTGCACCCCTCGTTGTGTGTGTCTATATCTAGGTCTCTTATTCTCTCTCTCCCTGTGTTGACAGTGTTAAATATGCACTTGGGACCATCATTCTAAATTCACCACACAAATCTATTTAGCCTGCCCGTCCCCAATGGCTTTAAATACACAGAGTCGGTGCTCATTCTCTTCCTATACTGTTTTGCTCATGTTCCGCTTTTCTGCATACACATAAATTATTTGCATTTCCTTCATGTTTGGTTTTTTCCCTTCGTTCTCCATTTCTTCAAATTCCCTGTTGCTTATAAGGTTCCTTGTGAACTCTCTTCCCTTTCTCCTTTATTTTTACTGCTGAGTTTCTGTTAGCAATTTCCACCTATTAACGCTCTTTCTTTTTTATCCTCCTCTCTTTTTCCTCCCTCTCTCTGCTCCGGCCATCGAGGTGCTTAGTGCTCGTCAGCCTGTCTCTGGTGGCAGCAGTAGGAAGTGGGCTGAATAATGAGATTACCTTCACTGCTGGGAGGGCAGCAGCTAGGAGCAACACAAGGAACATCATCACCTGTCATTGTTCCCACAAACACACGTACAGACACACGCGCACAAGCGTGGGAGTGTGCACTCAAACTCGAATGATAAAAATTCAGATACAGTGAGGAATGTTTTAAGTGACAGGAACCGAAATGTGCATGTACACACACATATACTCTCACACACAGCCACGCATGGCCATACTGCTTATTCAAATGAAAAACACAAATCTAAAAAACATGTTAAAAAAAAGACATTTTAAGTAATAAACTAAAATACACAGACACATTTATTAATGTACAGCAGCTGCATGCGCACACACACACACATATACTCATGTTTAGTATGCGTTAGCACGCACAGACACACACTCAGCACTGAGCAGAGTGCAGCAGAATAGAGGTACATGTACTCATCGCTCTCTCGCCACCAGAGAGGCTCATTTTGTGCTGCTGAATAAAGACAAGGAATTTATTACCAACGGAGAGCAGGAAGGAACAACAGATACGGAAAGAAAGGACAAAATGTCTCACGAGCAATAATTGCTTAAACATTTTTTATACTCTGTTCTCGTTTAGCTCCTCAAATGATGAAAAAAGGTCCTCTCAACACACACAAATCCTCCCTTGACTGGATGGAAGAGGGAGGTGAGAGGGGGCCTGGTGGTGGTAATTCAGCCATCATTAGCTGAGGTGCTGAAATGCTTTTCCTACTCGGGCTGCCGTCCTGCCTCACTGTTTTTTCCCTTTGCAGTTCTAGACACTCA